TCTAGGGACACCACCACCTATTGCATGATTTCTGACTCCCGAATCACCTACTTGTACGATTGGGAAGTGATTATTTTAAGACACTTTTACTACTCGACGAACCGCAAAAATAATCAGTACTCTTGACTAGATTCATTATTGACATACCAAAAATTAGCATTCTAAAATTGCTTAACATTAGCACAAATTGTACATAAGATCTACTTATTTATCTTGACAAATATGTATATAAAATGTCCAGTATTCAATCTTGCTTCCAATACCTATGAAAGGATGCACTACCTTGTTCCGATGATTTACCTCATGAACATTTCTTTCTAATAAACTTTGAGCCAACTGCTCAGAATTGATGAGGCGAATAATATCAAAAAAAACAAAACAAGATTCTTTTATCAAAATAAAAAATAGGTCTCCAATTCGGAAGAAATAAGTAAAAAGGCGGCAAAGATGAAAATTACTCACTGTAGTAAGAAGACTGAGAAAAAAGCAGTTAGATTCACAAGGCCTATTAATGGGAAATTCAGAGGTAAAAATGAAACACCTATGAAGGAGCATATGTGAAAAATGAGAATCTGATGCCAGCTGTCAGTGCAAGTTCAGGTACCAGAGTATATATTGCTATAGTATTTAGCTCTGACCTATGATCATGAACAATTTTACGAAATTATATCAGTCTAGCTAACACTGGTGGATGATAACATGAGACTAAATTCTGTCAATTGGAATTTTGACACTTGCGCTTTTCTTCCATGGATCTGCTGAATTGCAAATTTACTCCAGCATAAATAGAATGCTACTTCTGTCCAAATTCATATTACATTTTAGTAGTTATTTTAACAGTCGAGGCTAAAAATTTGGAAAGAAGACTGTTAACTACTATATGAGAAGATACAACATTTTAATAAAGTTGTGAATGAAAAGAGAGCGTCCTTTTTTTCTCTAACATCACAATACATCCCACATTTTATGCATTGCTTAATAAATATAAGAATGCTGATGCCTGTAGGCGTAATGTCCAAATGTCGTTCAGGGCCTTACCCAAGACCCAGCGATCAATTTTTGGGTGTCCGCCCAGGAGGGTGGACAAAATATTCGTAGTATGTAACTGTGGCTACTGTGATGTGTGCCCGTGAGGGATAAATGTGGAGGTAGTAATATGTAGTGTAGTAGATTGTGATAGTTTTCATGGCTGTGTCGGTTATTCAAAGTCACCCTGCTATAATTTGGTCACTGAGGTAATATGGAGGATAACGTGGTGTTTGTAAACATTATATTAGGTTGTTGCGTTGGTACAAGTTATGATAGTCAGTTAAAATTACTTCATCATTATTTGCGAAAATTTGCTTCATTTTGTGTCAGAAATTGTACAATGACACTGAATATAAATGAGCCTGTGAGTTCGTTACTCATTGTAATAAAGTTGGTGAGATGTATATAACTTTAACATGGCGTTGAAATTATTACTTCAAATAGAAGGGTCTTCCATGAGACTCAGAGTTTGAATCTCATTAACGTTGATTGATTCTGTCTCCTATATATTTTTCGACCTGCTTGGTACACTTCTGACTGATGTGATATTGAGAAAGCATCGTCATATGCTAATTTTTAAGCTTTGATTCATATTTTTACTCTCGAAAAAACCTAGGAGGATGGTAAATATTTAATTTCCATCTGTTCGCAATTTCAACACAACCATTTGAAAGCTACAAATATAATTCCTTTATTTGTAAGAAATAATTTGTCAATATCTATACGTAAGCAGAAAATGATTATTGTTGTGCCGGAAACTTGCAAATTATGTGTCAACCATATCCACCTCCCTGAGCATTGCTGGTGGTTATTAGCATTATTCAATAATGGTAGCTACAGAAGGAATAGTTGTTTTGACCATAATAATGAAGCAGGTCGACGACAAGAGCGGTCAGTTATAGAGAATTTGTTAATCACAAAAACCTGTTTATTTCAACCACATGATGCAATACGGCATAATAAAGCACGCAGTATACAATATTTAACGTTGTGGACTGTATTCAATTAGAAAAACGTAGTTTTTTCGCAACCATAAATAGATCAGTTAACTTGGTGTTCCCATGCACTAGCCAATCAGATACTATGAAAAGCGTTAAAAGTGTTACTAAACTTGACTACAAGTATAACACCTTTTACAAGATTACAGAAGAATTATATCTGACTGTTATTATGGAAATCTGATGTGTCATAGCGTTGGATGTGCAGCAATTTCTGAACAAATATAATGTTGCGACCAAATGAAACTTTGTTCAGATCAAGTCCGAGAACTGACAGAAAAGCAATTGTTTGAAAAGTAGGTAAGACGAGATGCGCATGCATGCAGAGATATTTAAATAGACTGCATTGGGGGTGGCGGAGAAGGCTAGCTCGACAGTTTAGTAGAGATGGATGTGCTTTTCAACAGCTTGTCATACCTCGTGTATATCAAGTCATCAGTCCGTAATAATTGATTTCTTTGAAGGAGAAAGTAAATGTAATGAATAATGGTAACGCAGGCATTTATAGTGGAATTTCATTTTGTGTTCTCAAATAGTTCTCGAGCATATATTCATTTTTCTAGTAGCTTTCAATTTACTTTCTTGCGAAAGGATGTGGAATTGGCGTAAATAGAACGATATTTCAGTTTATGAAGCTAATGATAAGTATACTTCAACTTGCTCCTCATTGCACATGTGTATGTGTACGGAATTTTCGTGTTTTGATATAGAAGCTTGGGATTTTTCTAAATTTACTTGTCCATTTTTCAATCTTTTGAAAGTTTTTAGTGGATTTTTATCATTCAGTATATGCATTTTCTAAGGTACTGAAAAAAGTTCCCAACAACCATATTTGATTCTACTTTCGGATAATTTCTCGTTATTAAGGAATACTATGCTGCGGATGAAAGTATTGCATACTTCAAGGAAGTGGATGCAAACTGGATATTGCCATTTCTGGTTGTAGCTCCATATCCGGCTTCAGAAGGACAGTGTGTTGGGAAGCAGTTCTCTTTGGAATTTCCTGATGAAATTTCGTTATTCCTTTTTTTTTTTGAGAACTGAATGAAGTCGAAAGCTTTGCTTCAAACCATTTTATTGATATTCATTGACTTTTTCGAGAGAAGAAATACAATCATTAACAAGCTGCTAATGCTTTGAGACAGTCTTGCTAATATCACTATAAGATTTTTTAAAGACAAGTATCAGTTTGTAGTTGCCCTTCATATTACCATATTACCACTTGAATATGGCAGATTAAGTTATTGTGTTGTTAATCACCATTTTATTGATATTTATTGACTTTTTCGTCGTACAAGGTTGTTTATTCAGGAAGAAAATTTCGCTTTCTTGATAATTTAATTTGGTCGCCTCTCGAATCTTCGTTACTTGTCTTCATATTCAGGTAAGTTATTTGTATTTAAGTAATAGAATTACCATCGGGTACTCGAACAGTTCAGCAGTTATCGTATTTGCAATGCCACAATTTTTTGAAAGTGAAGGCAGGTCAAAAGAGTATTGTAAATTAATTATTGTAAACTGTCATAATAAGATAACCTGGAAAAAAGGTTCTTATCCATTTCAAACCTTAACTTGTATCTTCTGACTTGGCACGCCTCTGGAATGTGACCTTTAAAAATTTGGACAGTAAAAAAAAGAATACTCAAACATAGAAGGCGGCGGCTGTATAGAACTCAATATTATGGAGTTAACGATGAATGATTAGCAAGTTTTTTTCTCATCCATAAAGTTCTCCTACATTTTTTGCCTAGTAAAAATATGAGTTCACTGTTGTTGTTTTTTTTGATTTATAAATCTTTATATTTTGTCGTTAGCAATCTGAAAATTTCATTTCGCAAGAAATATGGATTTAAAGGATATTGTTACATTGAGTGAGAGACGCCAAAAAATCAGTTCAGTAAGTAAGCTGGTAAAATGAAAACAAAAGCAATGCTATGGCTCGTGCTTGTTATTCGATTATTTAGCTAAATATATTGGAAAGAGAATTTTGATTCTTGTTCAACTGAGTAATAGTAATGAGAAGCTAGTTGGAAGGTTCTTTCGAATTTAGATAGAATGTGCAAACTCTTATTGCTGATTTCAATTTGTTCTTCAGACTCTTCCAGTTCAGCTCGTGAATAAAATACTCTATGTCGTGAAGGATTGGCACTTCCAAAAGTAAATACGAATAAGCAATCAATGTCAGTACTCTCTGGATGCAGCAGCAGTGTTATTTTCCTGCAAATGATTGTTTTTGAAAATCTGTTTATTTTCCGTTACAGCATTGTTTCTAAGACAATATTTCCTGCAAAAAAGACTACTATAGTTAAAAATTTTTAATTGCCTTGAATATGTGAATTATAATTTGTATTATTTGAAAAAAATGTAAATAAATTTCATCACATTATTCAGTTGCACTGTATGTAATTTTTAGGTAAGTTATATATGTGATGTATTTAAATTGAGGGTTTCATCATTTCATTGTTTATGAATTTGAAATTCTGAAATAATTGTGCATTTTGAGTAAAGCCCAAATGATTTTTTATCAAATAAGAATATTTCTCGTCTCATGTAATCGAAAATCCTGAACTGCGAGCGAAGGAGCAAATTAGTTCAAAATTCAAAGAAATTTTCGATGATAATGAGAAACATTGTTAAACGAAACCGATTCTCTTGAATTGGGAACTGCAAAAACTGCTCGTTGTTGGGTCTTATCGCTTTTCATTTGTGTCATTTGTACTGATTAAGCTTATTAGGAATGCAGTTCAATTACTCAAGTTGAGTTAGTTGTGACGACAGTCCTTTACCTGATCTTGGAAGGGAACACATTAATTCTTCGCTATTTGTGGCTTTTATTCCTATCTTTATTCTACCTTAAACTGTTGTGGGAATGTTACAATGCTACTAAAAAATACCAGTTCGATCAGTTGCAACAACAAATGTAATAATATCAACAGTCAAAAACACTGGGACTGCTCGTTGTTTGGTCTGGAAATGGTAATATCTCGACACAACGAATATCTGGAAGAAGTAGTTCCAGATTATGAAAGTGCATAATACTTTTCCATCTAAAGCTGAATGTGGCAATATAGTTTCCTGTTGCCCAACTAGAAGGCAGTAGACCCTGATGGAGTCTATAACTTCTTCATTAAGAAGTGCACCTCTGTAGATCCAGATTTATACGAAGTTAAAAGACGGATTCGTTTGGATGGGGAGAAATAGGACCCATGGTTCTACAAAGGGATTACCTATCTAGAAAGATGTCCCAAACAAAGCGACTTCAGGCCAATAACCTGCATGTTAAACCTTTACAAGTTGACAACGAAATGTGTGGCAGGAGTCATACAACTAGGTACTACCACGAGAAAACTACTTGGAGATAACCAATTAGGAACTGTTGGAAAGGTCCAAGGTGCGAAAGAGCAGGCACTCTTGAAACTGGCAGTATGCAAAGAGTATGGAAATCAATTATTTACCATGTGGTATGACGTTAAAAAAAGCATCTGATTCAGTGAGTCACAACTATTTAATCAGGTGTATCGAAAGGCTAAACATGCCAATGTGGATTGTTAGGTTTCTGCGAAGCATTACCCCCAGATGGTCGGTTACAATGATAAACAATGGGGAAAAAAAATACAGCGGGCAATCCTCCAATGTGAGGGATACTCAAAAATAACGGTTCTAACTGATCAAGGAATACGTATAATGATACATTTATTATTTGTAGATGATCACGAGCTCCTTGCTACCGATGTGGATGTCATGCAATATGTGGTAGAAAAAGTTCATAGGTTTATTCATGTGACAGAACTAGAGGTGAATCAAGAAAAGAGTTTACAGTACCTCCATATTTAGAGAGGCTGTACCAGCTAAAGGACGAGCTAGGACGTGAGCTTCTTAGCATTATTGAACAAGAGAGCGAGCTTATGCTTCTCCAAATTAAATAATGTTCTTGTAGATAACGCGCCCATGTCTAACGAAACTCATCGTGAAAAACTATACAAGATGAGACGAATAAATTCTTGTCGATAGCTTATTGATCAATGTGGTTACAATACCGAAATATTACCATTAACTCGAAGACAGAAATACATATGGAACTGAGAAAATTGTGTGCCTACATTGTGGGGAATGTGAAGACGGTGGATCATCTAGCAACGCAGTGCGAGAAAATGTTATATTCTAATTTCATGATTATACTCCTATTCTAATTTCATGATTATACTAGAAGACACAATGAAGTCCTGTGATGTTTTCATTTTGGACTGTGCAAAAAGTCTGAAAACATTCCCGTGCTTGCGCAGTCATTCTATTTTAGGAGGTCGTCGCTAACGAAAACGTGGAAACGCGAATAAGAACTGAAATTAGAATAGGAGCGGATCGACCGGACATCCTAGAAACGACACGAAGTACTCCTGATAAAGGTTGGCATTACTGGTCCAGGACAGGTTGATAGCAGTCAAGACGAGAAGAAGCGAAAGTATAATCTACTGTCAATAAACTTGGGTTAGAGATGAAATGCAGAACGAAAATAATTTCGTCTGTGATGACTTGGGATGGGATTGTAACCTTCCATAAACGCTTATTATCGGTATATCTGGTCATGTTGAGGCATATATCCAATCGATAGTGCTCAAGAAGACGTTAGAAAGCATCTTATTCGATTAGAGCCCTGAATTCAACGAGGACAAAGCAGCAGAGATGAGCACAGCAGAACTGAGCGTAGGGCGAGTGCAGTCAGAATGCCAGAATACGACCCAGTGCCGCGATCAATATGCAGAAATGATGAATAACCTCCGTTTGATATTGATTGATTGGAAATATGCATCCTGTTTAAAGACAAGACTTTTCTATTCTTTCATAACATGCAAATTTTTTTAAGCACATATAAGCATGAGCAGGCGAAGAAGTCATTATTATCATCAACTTATCTCATTGATGCGAGATGGTAAAACGCAAGAGGTCCAAACGGGTGAGTTTCCGGGGCATTTTGTGAGACTGAAGCAAAAAAGTTCAGATACCTTTTCTATTGGATGGATTATTGGTTTCAGTGTCGTAATTAGCTCAGAAACCATCTAATTCCTAAGACCTGAGATGTAATTGAATAAGAAATAATTTTTGAACAAAATCTAGAGATCAAAATTAAAAGTTTATGAGCTGAAACGGAAGAAAGTGCACAATTTTCTCTGCATCCATTTACAGCGGTTTCAATATCCTTCTAATGTAGATGAGGTATCTGAACTTCTTCAAATAAAGCTGAATTTTATTAGGTGTACCTGATCAAATTGTTATAGTCAGATCATTTAATCAGATATAATCATTCTTCCTGTATTTTTTTTAATCAAAATTTCTTTTTGCTCACTAATGTTTTATGAAAAGTGCGGAGTGGTTTTTTTCAATTTTCTCATTAAGGATTGACAGTCAGATAAATTAATGAGTTCACAGCTGCGTTTTGACTCAGTTTGTCAATTCTTCTTATTCTTGACAGTTCAGCAAAAGCTGCTGGCAGGACGAGGTCTAGATGAACTCACTGAGTAATGAATTGAATAAAATGGATTATGAAATTTTTTTCAGTGATACCATGACAGTAACCTTGAAGCTTAAATTGACTAATACTGATTATCTCCAAATTTCTGTACTTGAGTTTATTAATGATTTTGAAAAAAAAAAGCCAAAATGATTTGATGATTAAGAGAAGCAGGAAGGAGGCCACTGTGGAAGAAGCTTTGATAACAATGGCCACAGTTGAAGAGGATGACGCCGCAATACCCTCTAGGCCGGTCAAGAAAACGGGCTCTGATCAAGCTCTAGAAAATTTTGCGCTTGCCACCATTGCTAAAAGTAAACGATAATAATTTCTACGATTACTTCGTGTAAAAAATTTTTCCACCCTAAAGTAGTATGATTTTGAAATTAAATTTGAAACGAACACATAAAAGATTCCAAACACAAAAAAGTTCACCGCGTGCATTAAATTAGTACCCATTATCAATTAAAAAATACAGCAGAAACTAACATTAACAAATAGGGATTGCCAACAATGTCTCATTCCTTCACTTATAATTATAAAGGTTCAAAACGAAGAAATATTCCACAAAGTTTTCATCTTCTTTGGCACTTGTTACCAATTTACTGCTTCATCTGCAAATGCTATGAGCCTTATGAGGTAAATAATAATACATTCTGTATTTGAAGAAATTGATGGTTTGCGAGCGGAGTTTGCATCACTGAAAGCATTTACACCTTCACTAATCTCCCAGACAGCATTTGATCGAAACAAAGATTGCAACCGCTATCATAACGTTATTTGTTACGATCATACACGCGTTGTACTGAAGTAAGTTTAATCTGCTTAAAAATTTTTCTATTCGGTACATTTTACTACATGCTTAAATCAAATGTACTGTTTTTTCTAACTTTGCAAATTATGAAATTATATGAAAAACAAAACTTGTTCATATTGTTATTTTCGATTTAAAGTTTCAATGTTCCGCCGGATAAAGATTATATACATGCAAATTATGTACGGACCTTGCTTTGCAATCTATCCAATAATTACATCTGCACACAGGTAGGAAAATCTTCATTACATGAGTTGCATTATTTATGTTTATATAAATGAAAAAACTGCTGGTTCTCTTATTCAGAAAATCAGAAATAGAGAAACGAAAGAAATTTTTTTCATAATCAAGAACTTTGAAATTACTCCTCAACTAATATTTTAAAATATCTCCTTTTCCAATTACTTTTATTATGCTTAATGCGCAGCCTGCATATATTTTGTATTTTGTTGCTTGTGCTTTTCAAGAAGCTATTCTTTATTAAGCTGTAAGCATGTATTATAGCTCTATTTCGATGTTATGTGTGTTCACTAATATTAATTTGCTATTAGAAACAAATGATCTAGCAAAGCCAATGTTAAACCTAATATAGTCGATAAGAACTACTTTGAAAATTGATGAAAATAAAGGAATTAAGCTGTAAAAAACAAAAAAGAGTAAAAAAGATAACAAAATAAAGTGAAACTTGAAATTAAAGGGACCAATGGATACAACAGTTAATGATTTTTGGCGTATGGTTTGGCAGGAAAAATCGAAAAGTATTGTTATGCTGTGCAAGGTAGTAGAATGTGGTAAACAAAAGTGCTCACAGTATTTCCCACTGAACCATGGTGAAACAAAACAATATGGCAAAGTTGTCGTCCAGAACGTTCGGAAAACTTCATCTCCTTCTGAAAAAGTAACTTTATGCCACACATATTCAAACTTATCTATTCTATCATATCAAATTGATACTTGTATTTCATTTCATTCTTTTGGAAAACTACCAGTGTTGTGGAACAAGAATGGCGGACAGAGTAACTTAAAAGTCATTGCATAAGTTTTCTTTCTCATTAAATTCTCTGAAAAAAATCATCAAACATCGCCGAAAAAATTGATTACTAAGCATATAGGTTTTTGAAGCGATTCAAATGAACGTCTGTGTCAAAGGGAACCCAACATTCGCATTAACTCTATTTAGATGGCTGGATTGGCCAGGTATAATCAAAAATAAGTCCAAGCCATTCAGTTTTTATTCTAACAATTTTTAAAGCATCCCAATTGCAGAACATTGAAAAATGTCAAAAATAGGCATATTGATGCTTTTTTATGCTGCTTTTAAATTGTTGATGCTACCTTAAAGCTAAAAAGAATTTATCATAGAAGTTAGATGAAATAGATTGTAAGCAAGTGTTGATTTATATTTTCAGCAATTTTACCTTGATTCGTTGGAAATGTAGGCAGTTACAATCTTTTTCAAAAAACTGCTAAGATATTTCGCTAATAATGCAATTCATTTTCTGCATTTATTTTTATTCTTAGATTTTGGAGTACCAACATCAGGAATGGGAATGTTGCGAATTTTGCGTCAAATCAGAGATCAACCACGAAGCACAGCCATAATTCATTGCTCAGCAGGGGTTGGTAGAACAGGAACAATCGTTGCATGCGAAATATGTTTAAGAATTCTTCTTGAAGGAAAACATCTCAATGTAAAACATATAAAATCTTATACTTATTTCTTTCATACTTTTTTTAACAATAAACAATTTTTTGTTCCTTACTACATATTCACATTTTCCATTCTAGCACAGTCTAAATCTTATTAGGACTTAAAAAATTGGTGAGTTACGATAACATATTTTGAACAAACACGGTATAATTTGAAGAAAGACTGGAATAGAATTTGAAATAAATTCAAATTTTTTGTTCAATCTTATTTTTCTTGAGTTTTTTTTCCAATGCTTTGGATTACAATACTACTTAAAGGCTGCAAAATAAATTTTTAAGTTTTGTTCATAATATATATACATCGAAGCGAATGTATTACTTTTAATCTTTCAAACAAGTTTTGTACAGGTGTTGGATGTTATTAAAGAAATACGAACACAGCGTGCTGGTGCCGTACAAACTGAGGGTCAGTATATATATTTACATAGGACACTGTGTGAATATATAAATGCGAAGAAAATTGCGAGGGATAAGATTGCGGAATTCTTCACTGCCTACTTAGCATATGCAAGTAACTGTAAAGGCGAATAACTAACTATTCGTGGCCAAGTAGTATTAGAAAAATACTGCTATTTATATTTTTATATTATAAATAATGTAACTAAAACTGAGCGCTTAGTAAAGAATATAATCACCAGATAGCAGCACAGTCATTTTGCATACATCATTGAGTGATCCGCATATGCTGTCAGAGATTTAATTACTGTAAAATACCCACATAAATTTTACTCCTTTGTATTGAATAAATTTCAATTCCAAAAAAAAAGAACGTGACAGAATGCAAACGTTTTATTGACGGCCTAAACTGATTTCATAAACATTGTGTTTGTTGTATATCCTGCGAATGTGATCGTCTCTCTGGCCTTTTATTTGGTGTATTCTTATCCGACAGATGACTTAGAATTTACTATACTTATAGTCATTTCTCTAAATACTTGCAACCTGATCATTTCAGTTAGAGCAAGCATGCAGCTTAAAATTCATTATACTTGTAATCTTCATACACTTCAAACGAATATAAGTTATTAAATCTCAAAGCATGAAATCAAAGAACAAACCTTACAAAACTAAGAACAGTTTAATACTCTAGAAATTGCGTTCAAATCGATCCATTTTTTGATGAAATATCAAACAACATCATTTCGAGAAGGAGTTATATGCAGCGCAATATGTGGTAAATTATTTGCAGTTATTGTAACTTTTTTTGCTATTTTTCCCAAAAGACAGATAACAACTGATTTAAAAAAAAATTCATCAAGGATATCCTCAATATATTCCATACGTACTGCCTTGAGAATGTAAGGACAGCGATTAAAATATAAGCAACAAAACAGTTTCACACGGAGGTTAATCTTTTCTTTGTAATTCATTCTTTGATTCTGGCACGGCATCGTGTTCCAGCACTCTGGCTGTTGTATTTGTCTCACGCTCAGATTTGTTGTACTGATCTTTTTTGCTTCATATTCGTGGAATCCATAGTGGTCATCGAATGAGATGCTTCGACCGTCTTCTTCAGCACTATCGACCAAATATATGCCTCGACGTGACTCTTCAATCTCTGGGTCTCTTCAATCAGTTACCTGGTATTCCTGCTTTACGTCCTGATAAAATTTGGACTTTCGTGGGATATTTTCTTCAGAGTAGGTTTCATGTGTCTTAACTAGATGACATATGTCACATTTCGTTGACTTCTCTAAGAAGCACTTCTGCGACCATGAACGACTTGCAATACTAGTGATTGCATAATTCGCCGGTTTCTTCAGTTCTTGGAGGGCAATTGCACACACAAACTTCTCGCTATACAGAGAACGACACAAAGGCCATCCCCTCTTAGTATCCTCGCGAAACGATCAAGTACCGTCTTAAGCATTTCCCCCGGCGAGCTGCTCTGCGAAACTTCGATTCCTCGAATGAGTACTTCAAACGTAATCTTCCTACTGGTTCCTTGTTCTCGAACAACGGTGGAGTGGTTTCTCCTATCCTTCAAGGGTTTTTCTACAAACCTCTTTTGCTTCCTCACTGTTTCCTCTAATGATTCCAGATGCGATTTTTCTGTGTTCATTTTCCATTTATTCTTCAGACTTTTTATTTGCTGACTGCAGATCAACATAGCATTCTTCTATGATGTGGATTCCAACTCTTTCAGCTACAATTTTTCTTCTCTCTGTTCAAGCCATAAGTATATTTGCCTTCTTAACTTTCTTACCCTGTTTCGTTTTCATTTCTTCACTAGCTTAGGACAGTTAGAACTTAGCTTTCAGTCGAATGGTTGCGAAGCACTCGCATCATTATTTAATGTGTTTTTATTTAGCTTCTTGAGTAATCAGGAATTAATGCAACATGAAACAGCTCAAACCAATAATGGAAAGGATAGATTTAGATACAGAGGTTTTTACAACAGATATTACATTTATGGGAAGACAGGCATCACCAGTCACTACCCGGTAACTGAATTACCGCTATTTAGTTTCGCTGACTTTCCACTGCTTTTCATCGCTCCTGTTGCAGCCCGCTGTTCCTTTTGTAACTGGCTCTCAGATTCATGTTCCAATTTGAAAAATGTGAAGTATTCTCGCATATTATACACTGCAACAGGCAGCCCTTGTGCTCGTAGTTTAGTTGCAAGCACTAAGTCGCCATCATCGTAACCATTCCATCTGTTTATAACATTCAGTTATCATGAGTTATATATCTTTAAGTGGACGATTATCTTTTAATTTAGCTATTTCCACAGTTTTATTACATACACTTACTTCCATTAATAACAATAGTCAAATCTTTTTGGAAACAATTACTTATTGATGGTAACTACTTTCTATCATCTCGAACTTAAAGAACTCTTCTTGTGCATCATTTGAACAAAATAAACCAGTTTCATTACCCACATGCTACACGTTTATGCTGTATCATACATTAACTTTTTCCATGAAAAGTATTAAAAAAAATAAAGCCTGATCATGAACTTTTACAATTATTAATGCTGAATACTTTTGAATACAAAATGCTCCTGATTAATATATACTGCTTAGTAACGATGTATTGTTAAACTACATGTTCTAAATAAAAGATAATTATTGCTGAAATGTTGCCTGAATGCAGTAACCTTATTTTTTAGGAGTAAACAGCTAAAAACGATGAATTTATAATATACGATTGTGTTTACGTAAAAAACAAACTTTTGAGTATTTTACAGACAAATAAAAACACTTTAACGAACCGAGTCCGAAAAAACTTAAGTGTTTTGCCGTGAACATAGAATCCAGCAAAATAAGTGATAGCCGTGAAAAACCACAAAATTGAGAATATCAAGTCTACAATAACTTCGCTCGTTTATTTTGATAGTCTTTTAAAACATAATAGAAATGAAACTATTAATCGTTTAATAATCTCACTTAAATTTTCAGATTTCTATCAATTATTGTATGAGACTAGATCTAGTATGGTGGAAGAGAGATCCTGCTGATGCTATCAAAGATAATTTAGAACGCATACTTATATCTGTAAATTATGTTTTAAAAAATTAGACTTCATCATGCTTTAATTTTGGAATCCTTCATGTTATGAAATAAGCAAAATAGCGACTATGGAGATCAAGCAATCAAAATTAGTTATTTGGCGACTTGTTCGTATATTCAAATTATGAAAGAAATTAATTTTAAGAAAAAATAACCCAAAGTACTTTGCCTTTCACGAATGTTGGTGATCATGCACGCTGTGGCAAAAAGAAACATGACAATAACTCGGTAATAATATACTTTTAGAAGAGTTCCATGCTACAAATATTAAAAATTTCAGACTATTCTTGAAAATCTTCTAGTGCTCAAAATTATTCTTCAAAATTCTATATTTCATCAATTATGATAGCTAAACCAATTTCTACATACAAGAAATTGTTTACAATAGTTAATTGAACATATAAATCAGGTCAAGATAGCTCATTGCTTTTTAATGATATAATAATGCATTGGTTAGTACACAAAAATATTTTGAACAATATTCCTAAAATCCACAACTGCATAGAAATCACATAATTATCTCATGTATCTTATCTGTGAGATTACATAAGCTCAATTTTCAATTGTAAGAGACAGTACAACTCAAATGACTTACACCAGTGTAGAGCCCAATCGGTCCTGAAAGATAGAAAATGAAAGCGACATACAATAGCGATAACGGTACAGTCACTTGCCATCTTAAAGGATTCTAAAGACAACAAATATTAAATATTTTTAATAAAACCACTTAACCTGTAATTACTAAGCATCTTGGCAATGAAGAACAAGCATTTTGCAGCTTAGAGTCATTTTGCAATTATTTCAGCCAATTCAAAAGTTCAAGGTCCACTTGAAAAGTAAATTTCAGTTATTATAGACACAGCAAATATTTGAAATAATTTTGCATTAAAGTTCACATCTTCGTAATGAAGGAAAGCTATGACGAAGAACATTGAGAACATTGACCAGAAATCGATAACGCAAAAAAACACACTAGCAACGTATGAGTGTAGACCTCCACAGCAAACCTCGTAATTTCCGCTGCAAATTGAAGAATAGCAATGTATGATGTGTGGACTGCCTTTTTTACATCATTGACAATGATTGCTTCTTGTAGCAGTCGTTGATATAATTTGTGCTTTATTTCAAAAATCTATCTACTAATTTTTACCTACTGTCCTATGAACTAATTTTTTAGAATATAATAAATACATCAAAAATTTAAGTTTTTGAAATTAATTTCTACCAACAGGCATTTTCTAAATGAATTCTAACCGTTACAGGGTATTTGAGCAAAAATATAAGTTGATGTTTTGTAGCTTGCATGCTATGAAAGCTTTCGTGACATATTTCAAAATCATTACGATAAATGACTAATCTAAAAGCGTATTCCTTCCTAATTCATCATCATACTCAGTCACTGCAAGCAAAATAAACTTTCTCCTCCACTGTAGTACAGAGAAAACTGCTGCTGTAAAGAAAAGATTCATTTGCCACAGTGCCTAACAAGACTCGTCCATTGGAGTAAGCTCGCAGAAATTAAAACAATAATCATGAGGTCAGTTTCGAAATTCGACAAGAAGTGAAAAATGAAGTGAGCAGTCAAAAAGAAGCTAATGGTAGAAAGTACGTTTCGTTTCGTTAAATAATGTTACTAACACTTTTTTAATAGCTGTGCAAGTTTTCTTATATTAAAATCTTTATGATGTAGTCGATATTCGCAACGAAATTGTCGACAGAGAACAATGTCATGAAGAAGTGGTGAGAAGAAAAGTTCTATAACAGAAAAAAATTTAATGATAGTTCTTTTCAAACACATTTCCTGTGAAGCGAGCCTACTTTTGCGTTACCTGTCATCTTCACTGATTTCCGGAAGACACATTAACTCCCAGACAACCGTTTAGCTAGAATCAGAAGTAATGAAATGGCTGCAAATGCATAAATTTTAGTTTTAAAACAGCTACTTCTGACGTCAAATCCTATCACTCACTATGACTTCAAAGGAATCTTAAAATGAATTTCAGTTCTCCGGTCTTTGTTTCAATGTCATGCTTGTTACACTTTAATTCCGATCAGCATCTTTGTTTCTTCACAAGTTATGCGAGTTTGACTTCAGTGAACCTTCGTTAATTCTACCTATAGCTTTGGAAACGAAATTTTGAAACAAATTGCAAATAAATAAAAATGGTTTTAAAGAAAAAGTTTTAAACAATTGCTTAAATGTAAAGCTTTGAATAACTTTACTGCAAATACTTCACCACTTCTATATAAATTTTCTAGCAAAGCTAGATTTCATTAAGAGCATCACTTTCAGTGAATGAGACGATAACTTATAGACTGGCTGCAAATATTGACCAAAAAAATATTAGTCTTTATTAAATTGTCCCTTACAGAGTAAACATAATTGCATTCCACACGCTAAAAAATATGTAGAAAACACAAATTGTATTGAATAAACACCCAGTTCTTCAGAATTGAGGAACTTGACAAGTGCTTAATTGGACCGCACGTTTTTCCTAATATAATATCGGTTACAATACCACTTCAGCATTAATAATCATACCTATTTCCAATAGTTATGGACTTTAGAAGAAGTCAAGTGCTCCTAGACAAAATTAGAGTTCATTTCAACTTTTAGTTTGAAATGAACTCTGATCAGCTTTTTGTTTTATTCAAAATACGTTCTTCAATCTTGAAGCTAGT